TTTTCTAGTTATCTATGTGAAATATATATATTAATAAGAGTAATATTTATATTAGATAACTACCAGAAAATTTTGTAATAATTATATGCAAGTGTATAGTAAATATTTCTTAATTATGATAATTATAGTTTGAAGTTACTATAATTCATATGAAGTTTAAGTTTTGATGTTATCAAATATTATCAATAATATGATGATTATAAAAGTAGTTATAAAAATATTTTTAGTTTATTATTTATGTTTCAAATATTTATATTTAATTCATTTTTATTATTTTAGGATTTGTTTTTTTAAATAGAATGATATAAATATTTTAATTTTGTATTACAATTTTTCACTATATATAAATAATTCTTAATAAAATTATATTATGCTCATCTTGAAAATTATATTTTCACAAAACAATCAATCAGAACCTACAATTGATCATGTTGATGAATGTGATTGATACTAACAAAATTTGTCTCTTCTACATAATAAGAATAATGTTTTGATTTCTCAATATAAGGAACGTGAAATATGGGTGACCACACAAAAATGGACCAATAGATAATATTAGATATCATTTGTGATTGCACATCTACTTGGTTATCAAGGATAAATGATGAGCCAAACGTGGATCATGATACTTTTATACCTCATGATCAAGTATAGAAGAGTAATAAAACTAAAAGTCAATAATTCAAATAGTTTGATACTAGTGTTTTTTAATCAAGGACCAAGGTTTAATTCTCGTCTTAGGAATAGAGTTACGATGAGAGATATCACTTTAATTTTATAAGGATCAACTCAGTGATCAAGGGAAAAAATTGTAACTCCTTATATAAAAAAAAAAAAAGATGAATAATGGATATTGGTTGAACATGATTATATAACTTAACTTTTTTTGTTCTATGATAATTTTCATTCGTTTGAAGTGATTGTATTTTAATTTGTATATCATATTTTCATTATAAACATTAAATAATCAAAACCAAATATACTAGAGAGAAACCTAAAATAATCAAAATCATATATATTAGAGAAAAAGAGACACTTCATACTTTCTACATATATTTATTTAAAAAAATTCCAGACATTACTTCAATGGTGGTTATTATTAGAAAAGAAAATGTGTCTTTCAACAAAAAGAGAGAAAGAGGGAGCGAGAGAAGATAGTGTGTAGTTACAAAAAAAAAGTCTATTCAAAATGATAATTATGGGTAAAAATAAAAACATTTTAAATGATAAATTATTTAAAAGATAAATGAATCTTAAAAAAAGCAAAAACCAAAAAGTGATATCCTTTAAATATTGTTATAAATGATGATCAAGCTACTTAATTGTATTACCATATATTAAAGGATCTAACTCGATTGATTGAATAATGTCTGTGAATTGTTGTAAGCCACCCTTAATATTGAGATCAATTTTATGAATAAAAAAATATACTTTCATATACTATTTTTTGTTTCTTTTCTAGTATCAACTTGTAAAAGAAAAATGTTTCATTTTATCTATCATTTAAAAAAAACTTTAAGATACAATCTCAACAAAATTATTTTTATTATCATTGTTGTTGCTATTATAGTGTTTGTTATTACTATCATCATCATCATTATTGTTTCCACTACTCCATCATCACCACTACCTATATCATTTTTATTATTATTATCATCATCAATATTGCTATCATCTTGGTATTGTTATCATTACCACCACTTTATTATTGTTACCATAATCATCATTGTAACCACAACAACTACTATCATCGGTATTATTATCATTACATTATTATTTTGTGTATATCAAATACATATGATGATAATTCAATAATATTATTCTAAGTGCATAAATCGTTAAAATTAAAATTTATTCTATTATATCCTAACCATTAAATAAGTCGATAGAGTATGATAGTATATGTTAATGGCAATTTCTATAGTGAATCTTTGAAATATATGTTGAATGATAAGATAAAACTAATGAATGGTGTAGATTATTTACCGGTAACTTAATCTACATGTAGTTACAAATTATATTTAAAAATTTAAAATGTTTGCAATATTGATAATTATTTTTCTTAACTCGATGTCTAAATTTCCTTGAATCCTTCTACATCCAAAACTCGAAAGCTAGCTTATGCAAGTTAGTAAGTTCCATGGAGGCTCGGGCGTGGGCCTCCGCTTGGGCTATCCTTTGGGCCTAGGCTGTGAGGGAGACAGAATGAGGAGTCTCGTCAATGCAAAAGAAAGACAAGGGCTTCTGGATAAAGGCCCATTTGCAGACTACACCAACATTCTTCTTGAGGTCGCAAAGGAAGAACAGGGATTGGATGAGGGAGGTGAGGTTTAGAATCATGGAGGGCTTTTTTGAAACGTTATTACTCTATCTGATTTGGAGACTTTGTGCTATGTTTTCTTTTTTGACCTTCTTCCACTTCTAGACTTGTTCCTTATGTGAAAAACACGTGTTTTTTAGTTAAAAAGGCATTCAAACATCGGTTATAAGACCCATGTAGAATCCACCTATATAAATAACAATTGAATTCCCTCGTCCCCACACACACGTCACTTTTTACATAAATTGTAAATGTAGAGAAGATGATGTAAAATGGAATTTTATAGTTTGTTTGATTTTAGTTTGGAATTTTGGAAAAACCAAACCATGTCCACCCTTATCCAAACCACAATTTCACCAAAATTCTTCCATTTCCTCATATCCTACTTCCTTTGCAATCTCATTAGACCATACAATCCTATGAGTGTGGTAACATGGATATTGGATCATTTGGTGTGCATCTCAATTAATTTAGTAAAATCGTGTATCGAATTGATGTCCAAAATACAAATTTAATCTAGTGTATCAATTAATTTAGTAAAACTGTTCATCAATTAAAATAAGAGAAAAAATAACAACTTATAAAACATATATATACTATAATGTTATAAAAGCCTTTTGAGTAATGATCAAAAATAAAATCGTAAGGGCTTAGTTCAAAACGGACAATATCTTATCATTGTGGAGTATGTTTATATAATAATTTTATAAAAATATCCCCTTAGACAAATACCATAAAATAACTTCATCACCTCACTTCAACTAAAAAAAAAAGAGTTTAGTATTATTTATCACTACATAATTTGAACAAATTTAAAATAAAATTTCAAAAAAAAATTAAGTCGATAACATTAAGTATGTCAGTGTCATATATTAGCAAAGTAAGTTTATGCATTTTAAGCGCGTATGTGACAATGAAAACCATAACACGAGATACAAGACTCGCTTATTTAAGAAATATAAATTAATAATAAAGGTGCTGGTGGTGAGACCCACTCATGTCTGATTATCTGTGGACATAGTTTTCGCTTAGTAAATTATAAACTGTTAGATGAATTTTGAAAAGTCTACCATTCGGTGCAATCACTAATAAAAATGATGAGAAGGGCATTAAATTCAAATAAAAAGAAAAGTATAAAGTAGTTATACATAAAACAAGTTTGAAAAGGTACAAAACTGAAAACTATATGTAAGTTGCATTTCGCAAGCAAAGTATATCCTCTTTGATGCATAAGGACGTTTGAAATGTGACAAAAGGAAAAGCCATTACCTAATTAAATAGGTACATAATCTTTCTGTGCTCCTCTCTATGTAACTCTAGAGACTGCCTAATAATCTTCCATTCAAAACACATAAAATTCTAACACATATATCCTAATATATATATATATATATATTAGGATATATATATTATTCAATCTAATTAGGCATGCTTATAACTTCTTCAAGATCATCATCTAACGTCATATAAAATTCGTCTAGCCATGAAAGCTCAGTTCCGCTGTCATTCTCATCATCGTTGTAAAAGTTTACACCTTGTTGGGATTGAGAACTCTTTTTTTCATAGGCTTTGCACAATACCCATTTGCTCCTACTTTGATCCTGTTTTGCATAACATTAGAAAATTATCAATACAAAATAAATTGAAGTTCTTCAATTTGCATATATATGCCATGTACGTAACTGGCTTAATATTAATAATAATAATAATGGGAGTTTATTTGAATATAAGATATAAGTGATTTCGAGAATTCTTATATTAGAAGTGTGTTATTCTCGATAAAAAAAAAATAATAATAATAAAAAAAAGCTTTAAAAAATTATTATAAATTTGTTTTTAATGAGATTCTTAATCACTTACTGGTTTTCGTCTTCCGCGAGTACTTCCACAAGATGCGGTGGTAAAGCCGGATGAGCAAATATGATACTCTTGCATGACCCAACTGGTTTCAGTGCCTTGTGGAGCTTCACCATGGTTGAACACAAGGTACTTCTTAAACCCCACTTTTTCAGAGGCAGATACTATTGGTTCCGTGACTCCTATTTCCTTCCAATACCCATTTTCTGTGGATCTATTTTCCTTCACTTTGGTGAAGAAATAGTGTTGATTCCCACTTGACAACGCTTTACCTATATATATAAATGCATAACATATAGATATAATATAGATTATAAAGACATGTAATTTCTTTTAGGCATGGAGTTTGATCCATGCATGCATATGGTTAATTAATTATATCACTTCCATGTTATTAACTCTAATATTTAAACATACGAAACAGGTGAACCTAATAGTAAAATGTTAAATTAATGTATACAATGTCTTAAGTTTTTGTTGTTGTCATTGTAATAAAAAAAAATGAATTGAGACATACCATTTAATTTCCATGGGTCAAGATGAGAGAGGTCAAGCTCTGGAATGATGTTGGGATGACATGGTAGAGAAGCCTTGGAACGAAGAAAGTGAAGGACGAGTTCTTCATCAGTTGGAGAGAAGCAAAAGCCAGGAGGAAGGTTGACACTTCCACAAGCCATCATTCGGAAATTTTATTAGTTTATGGAGGACTTTGGCACTTAGGTCAAGCTTGTCAAAGTATATACTATATAGTTAATTAAAGCAAGAGGAGAGTGTGAGATTTTGGCTGATTATGATTCAGAAAAAGAATAGAGTTTTAAGAAGAAAGTCGGCGTTGCGTGGAATACCACCAAAGAAATTAAGTAGGGCCAAGAAAATAGGCCAAGGAAGCTAACAATAGAAGTTGCGTTGCAAGTGATAATTTTAACATCAAATTATTGTGCATAATTATTTGAGTTATCAAGGATAAGCACCATGAGAATATTAAGACCTGCCTTATCTACATGATTCATGTTTCCTCCTTTTTTTTAACTGTCAATTCAGTTTCCTCCCACTTGCTAGCATAATCCATCACCAATAGGTTTCTCTCGCCATTCATCTAGTGTCAATATACATAGGGAATGTGATTGAGTATTTGTTTTATATTTTAATACATTAAAAATTTATTAATGCAGAATTTGAATGATCTAGATGTTCTAGCTAGTACTTAAAATAGTTTGAATGTGGGATTATGATATCTAGAAAGATGTATCTTCCGAAAATTAAATTCGTCTCAAAGTAAAATGAAATTAAAAAGAAATATAAGTAAAACAAAAAGTGAATATTCCTAATAAATAGTAGTCAAATTAGGAGTCATGTGTATATGATTTCAGCTTTACTTTTTTGACTGATTTACTTTAACGGGGATATTTGGTGGTTAGTTTCTGTAAAAGTAATTTCTAAATTTAACCTAACCTAGCTATCCCCATAAAGAACAAATTGTTTGGGAAACCTTTTACTTATTCATTGACCGCTAATTAATATATATGAGAGGATATGCGACATCTGAGATATGGTAAAATAATTAAGTTATGGATAAACATGGGCATTAATAAGTAGTATATGCTTATTAATTTGCACCTTTAATTTTAATTATTTACTAACCACTAGTATATTGAATGGTGGGTCTCTCTCTTACCCCCGAAAGTGGTTTCTTTACATGGTTAGCATGGGTCATAAGTGTTCTTGCTCACCTTAGCCCAGGCATGAATCATAATTAACCGTAGCTATGGACCAAGTGTTACGGGCTAGTTGATATAATTTACACCCTAAAGATAAAATCATTGAAAAATTAAAGGTAACCCATTTGAAATTTTAATTATTGCACCGTTAGAGGAGGATTTACACCTTAAGATGCTTAATTAGAGGCATTATTTTTCTAGCTGTTCACATTCCTATCAGGAAAAACCACATTTCAAAAGAAAAGTCCTTTGGTACATTTTCTCCCTTATTTTCCGCTTCTTAATTATGAAAAGAAACACCTTTCGTAAGTTCTGCCAGCTGCACCACCAATTATATTAGCATCAGTCTTATTCTATGGTATTTTTCCTTCCACCAACTTCGATTAATTTCCTACTAGTTAGTCCTCTTCATCTAGTTTTAGTAACCTTGATTCTACAAGATTAGCGTTATTCTAGTGTACTTAGTCAGACAAACAGAAGAAACACAAATAATTTAGTTGCATTATGGTGGATGGTTTTGTGGCTTAGTATCTGATTTATTAACCATCATTACGCTTCACTAAAGGATAAAAGTTGATGAGATCTTGCGTCATGCAGTAGTTGGTAGGTCATACACCTTTTGCCGGCACTATTAAACAAGTGTTTTAACTCTCCTTTTATCGTCATGCCACACCCTAACACCCTGGAACCATGCCCAACAAATGCAAATCATAATCAGAATCAAATACTGCTATCTCACAAGCAATCAACAAATACTGATATCTCAGAGTCAATCAACAAGTTAACCCAAGTGAAACTGGTCGATTTTCTTAAACAAAAGTATTAGAATTAATTCAAGTTTTATGAAATATAATTGGGATGAGATATTCCATTAGTTAAAAGTGACTACCAGTTTTTAAACGAGATTAATCAAATAAATATATATTTTATACCAATAACTTAATTAAAAATACATGCTTATATATATAGGAGAATAGTGGCAGTTCTACTTGGATAGTGAAAAAGCCTTAGTAATGTGAACACACAAAAAAAAGCATCTAGCTCTCTTTCACCTTCTATCACCATTTCAATTTTTTGTTGTTGACTTGTTTATTCCTCAAGAGAGACTTAAAGTTCACATTCTTTGTCATTTTACTGTATGACTAACCCACTAATCGGGTAACTTAGATGACTTGTTTTTTCACCCGTCAATCTATCCTTTTGGAATGTTGACGATTGTGTTACATTGTTGTGTTTAATAAAATAAGAAATATCTTGATGTTGAAATTTTAGTATTAATTAAAATTTTGTTATTGAAGGTTAGCCAATTATGGGGGACAGACTTCCATATATGGAAATTACATAGGGTTTCAACTAATGTGAGAGTGGAAAAAAAAAAAAACTTTTCTTTTATTTATTAATTCTTTTTTCACAATATTCAAATTCGAAATTTGAAAGAAATCAAACTCTTTACCTCTAACAATAACTAAAATATGAAAAATTTAAGTATTAAATGTAATTGGACAACGATATTTAAAAAA